GGTCATAACTAATGTAACAAAATGTTACTAACTCGGAAAGCTATTTTCCGAGTTGTTGTTGAGACCCATCTCTCCCTCCCGCCGTCCATCTTTTCATCCCCTTCCTTTAAGAAGTCTCCTCGGGATCAGTAAAATGGTCCCGGTGGACTTTTTTCTTGTATCTTGCTGCATTGAAGTGGTTACTAGCGCTGCCCAAACCTCCAAAGCTGCACGACGTAGTACATAGTGCGTTTGCTCCAGACAGATCTCCTGCTGTGACTGATTCACAACTGTCAGTAAGCGCTGGCAGTGCTGAAGTTGATCTCTCCTTTACTGCATCTTTGTGCTTAATATATTTATTCGAGCCACCACTAACAACGTAAAAAGTTAAATATAGGACTAATCTAAGGAAATAAGGGTGCAGGTTACAAGGGCATGTCAGAATAGGATATTCCTAGTTCTTAAATATTATAGATACAATCAAATGACTACGTCTGACGCACAGATAAACATGCCCAAGAACGCACAGGTACACACACACACACACACACACACACACACACGAGCGATACTAATAGTGACTATTGGATAAGACTTAGCGGAAATCAAAATTAATAAATTGAACATATTAATACCCGTGAATTAAGAGTTTCTTTAATTTCCTTTTTGAATAGATGGACAGAGCTGCAGTTTAAGTTAGTTAAACGGTGATAGAAGTCATAAATATATAGTAGAAATATTAAGAAATGAATATACTACACCAAGTCTATCCCTCCTCATCCCTCCTCATCCCTCTTTGATGACAATTTCGTGTTGGTTCCGGGCTACAATATCGTCCGCAGAGACAGGGTAACTAGTGATCACGGAGGCACTTGCATGTACGTCCGCGATTCTATCCGATTTGATGTTCTACCCGACCTTATGGACGAGAATTTTGAAGTTTTATGGGTTAAAATCCGCCCCAAATGGCTCCCTAGGGGCATACCATCTATTGTTGTTGGAACTATTTATCATCCGCCGAGTGCAACCGACTCCTTGATTTTAAATTACCTGTACGAGTCACTATCAAAAATCGAAGCCATTTTTCCTGACTGTGGCCTCTTTCTTTTGGGGGATTTTAACAAGTTAAATTGCTCTCGTCTAAGGAACGCTTTGGATCTCCGCCAAATTGTTCCTTTTCCAACTCGTGGGCAAAGTAAATTAGATCTAGTCTTCACCAACCTCGGCGCCTTTTACGATGTGTCCAAAAAGTTGCCTCCTTTTGGGCTCTCCGACCACGATACTGTGGAAGTACAGCCCCTGGCTAGACGGGATGGTCCGAGGAACAAAATCCTGCTGAAATCCAGAGACTTGCGGACAACAAGTCGTCTGGCCAGGCGGACTTACCTCGATGAAGTCAACCTTGATCGTCTGGTAAGATGCAAAGAGTCATGCGAAGAGAAAATACTCGCGCTTGAAACCATAATCAAGACGGGCTTGGATTCTGTTCTCCCCCTTAACTCCAAGACGATCATTGCCAACGAACCACCATGGATTAGCAAACAATTGAAATCTTTAATTCATGAGCGTCAAATAGCCCTTGCTCGTGGCGATAAAGATTGCTTCCGCCGCCTTCGGAACCGTGTTAATCGCTTGCGGAAGTCTTGTCGCGCTAAATACTATGAGTCCAAAGTCGAACATCTGAGGGACTACGAACCGCGTAGTTGGTGGAAAGAAGTTAAATCACTTGGCGGGATGAAATCAGCTACGCGCACAGATCCTACCTCTGTCCTGAAGCATATTGATACAGGGCCTGACTCTAGTCGTACGGCCCTTGCTAACGTCATTAACAATGCCTTTCTTGCTCCAATGAACTCTTTTACTTCATTGGATTCTGGAGTCTCGTTTGCTGTGCAATACACCGACACGCCAACGGTTACTGAGTTCAGTGTCTTGAAGAAGCTCATTGCTCCTAATCCTGCCAAAGCTTCTGGGCCTGACGGCGTGCCCGCCTGGCTTCTGAAAGAGAACGCGGACCTATTGGCTCCTGTGGTTACTGATATTCTTAATAGCTCATACTAGGAGGCTCGTCTCCCCCAGTCCTGGAAGCTCGCCAACGTCGTCCCTATTCCTAAGCAGACCCCTGTTTATGACGTTAACTGAAACACCTGAGACCAATTTCACTTACACCTGTCCTTTCCAAATTGGCTGAGGACTTTGTGGTTGATCGTTATGTTAAACCAGCTGTACTCGCTAAGGTCGACCCTCGGCAGTTTGGTACTGTTCCCGGTTCAAGCACCACCGAAGCCCCAATTAGAATGACTCATGCCTGGTACAGTGCTACTGACGGTAACGGGGCATCTGTGAGGGTGATTCTCTTCGATTTTAAAAAAGCCTTTGACCTAATCGACCACCAGATTTTGGTCAAGAAGCTGGGTACATATAGCATCCCCAATGCTGTCATCTCATGGATTATCGACTTTCTCACCTCGCGCAAACAGCGTGTTAAACTCGGCCACGACTGCTTCTCAGAATGGGGCGCGGTCCCAGCGGGGGTTCCTCAAGGTACAAAACT